GCCGTAGCTAAAGACGTATTAGACATATGCACATGTGCCCTTTACTGTAACACGGCTGGTATTGATATTGATGCGGGCTGACATCTGCGGTCAAAAGTACCTCCACACGCAGCCCTCTGTGATAGAGCGTCATACATCATCTCAACACGTATCACAGCAGCCGGGCGGCGTGTCGTTTACGGGCGCCTCGGACTCCATAAACGCGTAATAAACGCGTAATCACGGCCTAATTTCGCGATAACGGCGACGTCCTAACGCGTAACGGCAGTGTCGTCAGGCCGCCTCCGTCCTGCGATTTGATTTCTTTTTAAGGTAACATTTCGTGACTGGTGACATGGTGGTGACACACTCATTTTTTAAAACTTATTTTATGCCGCCACCAACGCAGAGGACAAATACAGGACTACACAAGACTCATTTTCACTCGAACTAAGTGATTAAAGTTGTGTAAAGTGCCTTTCCCAAGGGCACAAGATCGGTGGCATGTGAGGACTCGAACCCGGGACCCCTTAGTTCCGAGTCGAGCACTCTGCCGTTACGCCACACGAACCCACCCGATTTTATGGCCATAGGATTTTCAAGCGGGCTGTGACAGAACCAACAGCCGACAAAAATATAAGCAACCTTTTCCATTACAGGAAAGCTTAGTTGTATATGCGCGACACAAGCACGACTATATGCCAACAGTTTGCGATCGCACGACGTCCGTACGACTGATATGGCGAGTAATTATAAACTTGACTTGCGTCCAATTTGACAGACACAAATGGTACGATAGCATGCTTCCGTTTGAAAAACTGCGCTGGTTGCACCATCTTACTTATCTAAAACAGGATCTTATACTGCGCCTGGAAATTGATTACTTTGCTTTAGAACGGGAAGAGCGGAAAGTTATGGGTGGGTTTGGCCGGCGGTTTTTCTCTGTCGATTTGGCAACAAGAAAGCCAGTCCGCGCGGCCAAGAGAAATGGGGGGTTAGATCGCAGAATACGGCGGGACCAAATTAAGCAGGGGAACGTCCGTTATGAGCCTTTGAACATCCCCGCCCTCCGTCTTGCCGCTCCTTGGTGGCCACAGCCCATTTGCCGGCAATCGTTCAGGCCGGGTATCGCAGCGGCCGCGGTAAAAGTCGCCATAAATCAGCGCGGGGAGCAATCTGCGCGCACGGGAGACATTAACCCGCCCGCAGGTGCGCGCACGGGAGGCATTAACCCGCCCGCAGGTGCGACTGTTGCATGCAGGGGAACGTGCCGGCGGCCCGGCTCCGCGGGAAGACCCTGACCCCGCCGCCGCCCGCGCCGCGATGACGGACCGCCCGGATTACCGGATCGTGCCGAAACCAGCGCGCGCCAACGGCATGGTAATAGCCGGGATGCATGGCGCGGCAGGACCTGTCCATCTCCGCGCCGAGTCTTCCCTGCTTCATCTCGCCACGAACCTGCCAGGAATGGAAATCAGCGCTCCCGCCCGTTTCTCACACGCACACATCGGCCGTAATGCTAACATATGCCTGCTTTCATTGCCAGTTTGGCGGCCGGGGTCAGGCTGGCGTGCGCGGCGCGCTAAGCGGGGCTGACAGCTGTAATGAGTCTCATCATGGCGGGAAGGTGAGCGCTGAGGAAGGGATCACAGTGTCATCACTAAATCAATGGTCTGAACTGAACCGGGCCACCCTGCCGCGGGAGGAATACCGGCTCACATTTCATACAGAAAGACAAGTCGGGCATGTCTTCTTTTCTGCGCGGTTTTCTTGATAATTTCTTCCTCCTCCGCCTGCCCCTTGCCTCACCTTGCCGAGCTGTTCCCATTCCTCGGTGTCTCACCCGATTAGGTTGATAGCTGCTTTTAGCGCGGACCTCTCACAGCCCGCATCATTGCAAACGATGTGTGGCGGGTATCAAAAACCATCGCTTCTTCATATCATCACCCCGTATCAGTCAAGGTGCCCGGGCCACTCTAATGCCGTCTGTTGGTTCATATCACCCCGTATCAGTCAAGGTGCCCGGGCCACTCTAATGCCGTCTGTTGGTTCATATCACCCCGTATCAGTCAAGGTGTCCGGGCCACTCTAATGCCGTCTGTTGGTTCATATCACCCCGTATCAGTCAAGGTGTCCGGGCCACTCTAATGCCGTCTGTTGGTTCATATCACCCCGTATCAGCCCGGGCCACTCTAATGCCGTCTGTTGGTTCATATCACCCCGTATCAGCCCGGGTCACTCTAATGCCGTCTGTTGGTTCATATCACCCCGTATCAGTCAAGGTGCCCGGGCCACTCCACTCCAATACCGTCTGTTGGTTCATATCACCCCGTATCAGCCCGGGCCACTCTAATGCCGTCTGTTGGTTCATATCACCCCGTATCAGTCAAGGTGCCCGGGCCACTCTAATGCCGTCTGTTGGTTCATATCACCCCGTATCATCCCGGGCCACTCTAATGCCGTCTGATGGTTCATATCACCCCGTATCAGCCCGGGTCACTCTAATGCCGTCTGATGGTTCATATCACCCCGTATCAGCATTTCGTCAGGTATTCTTCTAGGTCTAATAGTACATTGTATAATCTATACGTTTCAAACTGGAAAAAGGAGAGTTTCAGGGAGTGAAGATTATCACACGAAGCCTCTGTTTTATCTTCTGTTCATCTCACCAAACCGCTCTGCTTGCTGAATTTTGATTTTCTGTCCTGGCCGCGAACCAGCGAACTGCGTTGTCGCGTGTGGCGAGTCGCGCGGCGGAACCCATCCCGCGGTTTGCCCATGCGTGCGGCCGGCAGGTCAGATCCAGCCCACCTGTAACGGCAGATGTGGAATGGCGTCAGGAAAACGGAATGAATTTCCGATGGTGTGTGATGTGGCAGTCCCGGCTAGGATTTGCAACAGGCGCAGTAAAGCTGTCAATTTTCCGCCACCGCCGACCGAAATTGGCGCGCTCAACCCTCCGACGTGCAGGTGACATTTTTGGGAGGAAATCTTCAGATCCCTTTGTTGTCGGAGAGAACCGGCGGTGATCACCAGACCTGCCCAGCCAATGGAAGCGCGCCGCGTCATCGCTACGTCACCCATCTTGGCGACAACTTGGACCGAATTTGTCGGAGTATTTTGGCGTTCCTCCTCCTTCCCTGCGTCCTGCCGAGTCGCGGATATCTGTCCGGCTGGCGACGCCGAGCTCTGCTGAAACCGGCCGGGTTGGAAGAGCCCTGCCCAGCCGCACATAAAAACGGTCCGTCGGCTTGAAGAAAGGTTCCGGGCGCGTCTCTCCTTCCCAAACCGCGCCGTGCAGCCCGCTGGGACTTCTGGAACCGAAAACGTGGCTCCGCAAGTGTTGGGCGACAGACGGCCTCTCCATCAAGCGGCGGCCGGGCGGATTCCGCGGCGGAGTCGGTAGCAGGTTCAGTGGATGAGTCTGATAAAGCCTGGCAGAGTCGCGACTGTCCAAACCCGGTAAATCAGCGGCAGTGATGGACGGGCCGGGCTGGGAGGGAGTCCGGAAACACCCCCGGTCAGATTAGGACTCCCGGGACTTCCCGCGCCGACAAGTTACGGCAAGTGGCAGGGTGCTCACTCAATCGCGCTCACGGCGATACTTCAACTGGAAAAACATCATCCCCCGGAATAGCCCCCATCTGTTGTGGTTAGGGAAACGTGAAAACTTGAAACATCTCCGTGTGCGCGAAAACGGCCTGGCTCTCCAACGTGTCACACACTGAAACAAGCCACGACATTTAGAATCTCCGTGTCACAGACTGAAACAAGCCTCGACATTTAGAATCTCCGTGTCACAGACTGAAACAAGCCTCGACATTCAGAATTTCTGCTCCTTCTTTACCTTATCGAGTTTCTGCTACCCGCAGACGATCCGTGGACACTATCATCCTACAGGTCAGCACAAACTGCGGCCTCCAATGACTTACTGTAAAAGTTAAATACAGACGAGCAGACCCATCCTAACTTCAGCACCAAGGACAGCCCATGGCCACACGTCTCGCTTTGCAAACGGTAAGCGTGATTACGCAGTGTTTGGGAAAACAATATCTCTCTCAACATGGGAAGAATTTTCTATCTACTCACTTTTTCCTCTAGCTCTGATTGGGGGAAATGCTTCCACCAATCAGATATAGAAGGTCAATATGTAATCCTTTCTCTCGTCAGTCAGTAATAGAAGCCACCCTTGTTCAATATCTATTTAACCTGGTTAGCGTCAGTATCATATAAGGTATTGGGGTGGTGGGACTTCGGCGCACTGTCATGTCAACTCTGTGTATTTATATGTTCATTGTATTTTGTCGTGTGGTGCTGTAAAAATAAGTTTTAAAACTTGAGTGCAGTGCCTCACTGTTGTTGATATTGTTTTGTTATGTATTGATGAATAAAAAAACGCCAAAACTAATGCGCGCGTCCGAATAAAAAAAGGTTGCCTTTACCATGAGATCAACGTGGTTATGAAGGTTGGGCAAATGACTAAACACACATGGCGAATAATAGAATTGAGTTGCTTGAGTAACTGCTTTTTGGCGTATCTTATTACCTGGATGTCTAACCTTCACCGACGAAGCTCCTGATTTATTTCAATAATCATTTGACTGCTCTTTTTGTATCATTGTATCTTTTTGTATTACGTTTTGCTCTACATTTTATTCTTCTTTATTCAATATGACTGATGTTAGATTAGTATTAGCCGTTTTCGGTTTCTCCCTTCCTCCTGCACGTGTTTATTGTTATACGTACATTGTGAATTATTATCATTCTAGTGAAGATATAAACACAAACAAATTTAACGTTATAAATAAGGTCTGAACTTCTTTGAGTGTTGGTAATGGCAGTTCAAAGCCGCTTCAGAATTGATTCTACCAACACAGATGGACGCTAAGGCTATCTCCTAATGTTTCTACACTGTGTTTTGCAGATGTGATACCAGCCTACGGTTTCCGGCCAGTGAACAGTAAAATAACTTCCTCTGCTGCAGCCCTTTCCGGCCGGATGGTGCAGGGAGACGAGGGAGGATGAAACTTGCGAACTCGGTACTCGTGATCGCTGTACTCGTAAGCAACAGCCGGCTGCAGGCTGATGACGTGACCAGTGACGTGTACACACAAAACAACAAACAGCTGCATGCTGATGACGTGACCAGTGACGTGTACACACAAACCAACAAACAGCTTCAGGAGGATGACGTGTCCAGTGACGTGTACACCAAACAGCTGCAGGCTGATGACGTGTCCAGTGACGTGTACACCAAACAGCTGCAGGCTGATGACGTAGCCAGTAACGTGTACAACAAACAGCTGCAGGCCGATGACGCGGCCAGTGACGTGTACAACAAACAGCTTCAGGCTGATGACGTGACCAGTGACGTGTACACCAAACAGCTGCAGGCTGATGACGTGACCAGTGACGTGTACACCAAACAGCTTCAGGCTGATGACGCGGCCAGTGACGTGTACAACAAACAGCTGCAGACTGATGACGTGGCCAGTGACGTGTACAACAAACAGCTGCAGACTGATGACGTGACCAGTGACGTGTACAACAAACAGCTGCAGACTGATGACGTGACCAGTGACGTGTACGACAAACAGCTTCAGGCTGATGACGCGGCCAGTGACGTGTACACCAAACAGCTTCAGGCTGATGACGCGGCCAGTGACGTGCACAGAAAGCCGTTTTGGTGTGCAGAGAGAGACGGGGATAACGTTACGGATCACACAGAATGCTGGCGAGGCAGAACGTCGCCCCACCTGGGACACCAGACACCTTCAAACGTAACCTTAACTAGGTTATCTCATTTTCCTCTGAGGAAAAATGCGCTGGACTCCAGTCGGAGAAGTGTTCGTGTTTCCGCGGACGGTACGGCTGGAGTCGCCCGGCTGAGACGGGCGGATTCCAGGGGAGCGTATGGGCCCGGGCCGGATGGTGAGGAGTTGTCTGGGCGGACAGATTTGGAGTGGTTCGAGCGGCTGGACTTGGCGACAAGAAGTGTTGGTGTTTCCGCGGACGGCAGGGACGAACTGGTCCGACCGAGGCGGGCTGACTCTGGAACCTCTGCGGCAGATGTACAGGACTGGTCCAAGCAGTTTGAGGCTGAGGGGGAAATTGTGCGGTTGAGACGCGCGGAGGGACAGTCCGGGCCGGTTATAGAGGACTGGTCCAAGCAGCTTGAGGCTGAGGAGATTATCCGCGTAGTGAGTTGCCAGGTGGACATGTTGTGCAGCCCGGTGAACAGTAAGACGTGCCGGTGCCCGCCGGGGCAGGCCGGGTGCGTCGTGCCGCGCGCTCGCGTCTCGCAGATCTCCAGGACTCGCTCAGGCGCGCTGAACATGTTCTGCGTCGGCGTGTCGCTCAGCCACGAGGAGGCCGGCGCGACGCCGCAAACCAGCTGCAAGTACTTCAGCACAGACAACGCCAAGTACCGCGTCTTCGCCAACAAGGTGCCGGAAACAGGCAGCAACGCGGCAGGCAAACCCAGGATCAGATACAGGGCCTGTCTGAAACCCATGTCTTAGCGGCAAACCCAGGATCAGATGCAGGGCCTGTCTCAAACCCATGTCTTAGACTAACAAGGACAGAATATATGTTCTTACAAACCCATGTCTTAGACTAACAAGGACAGAATATATGTTCTTACAAACCCATGTCTTAGACTTAACAAGGACATGCAGGCCTTTTCTTCGTTTTTTAAACAAAAGTCTTAAACTTGACAGGGAGAGAAAATATGCCCTTGCAGACATTAATTATTTCTTTAACCCATGTCTTAGAATTACCACTTAGAGAAGATATGTCGTTACAGACATTAATCATTTCTTAAACCCACGTCTTACACTTACGAGGGAGAGAATACATGCCCTTAGAGACATTAATCGTTTCTTAGACCCATGCCTTACACTTAAGAAGGAGAAAATGTATGTCGTTACAGATATTTATCATTTCTCAAACCATTGTCTTAAACTTACCAGGGAGAGAATGTATGTCTTTAGAGACATTACCGTTAAAACTCGTGTATTCATGGACACGGTGGCAAGTACATAACTACTGGAGTTAGAATGCACGAAGTGTATAGCCGGCGCAGATCTGATAGACATGCACAGAAACGCCTGGTTTGAGACGTATTTAGTGTATATCAGACTTCCCTGATGTTATCTGTGCAGTCACAAGGGACTTTCAAGACAGGCAAACACGGGCGAACTTTTGCAACCGAATGTAAATATCAGAGATAATCACTACAAATAACTCGTGAAGAGGACAGGGGCCAACAGAAGATATTAACTCTCATGTATTATTCAGGTTCTGTTTTTCTTGGGGGAGGAGAACTTTACCATCGGAAATTGTTTCATGTTAATGAAAGCGCATGAGCGTTTTCCGCTGTATTCATGTCACCAGTTTGCGTGACATTGAACCGCTGGGAAACGGAAATAACAGGAGAAGCGACGTTTGTGTTGATATAAACACTAACACGGAACAGTTGTTACTTTGTAATGTCATCGCCTGTTTACGCTTTTCTTTTCCGAAAGTAGAACATTAAAGCTTGTGCCTGCATGTTAGAAAAGGTTTCGATTTTTATTAGAAAAAAGAGTGTTAGAAAGGTGTGATTACGTAAGGCAAGTCAGTAGGTCATACACGTGCAAGGTGACTTCTGGGTACAACCAATTGCAACATGGCGGCTGTTGCGTCACTAAAAACCAACATGGCGGCCGTGGCGTCAATAACCAACCAACATGGCGGCCGTGGCATCAATAACCAACCAACATGGCGGCCGTGGCGTCACTAACCAACCAACATGGCGGCTGTGGTGTCACTAACCACCAACATGGCGGCCGTGGCGTCACTAACCACCAACATGGCGGCCGTGGTGTCAATAACCAACCAACATGGCGGCCGTGGCGTCACTAACCAACCAACATGGCGGCCGTGGCGTCAATAACCAACCAACATGGCGGCCGTGGCGTCACTTACCAACCAACATGGCGGCCGTGGCGTCAATAACCAACCATAATGCCATTGATTAAGGTAGTAGATTTTACCTGAAACATTTCCAAAATCATATCCAGTAGCTTGAGTAACTGTGTTTTGGCGTATCTTATTACCTGTATGTCTAACCGTCACCAACATGGTTGCTGTGACGTGATCTCTACTATCCCTGACCCCGTCGGAAGGACTAGCGGAGACTAAATGCCAGGCTGCACTTCATGTGTCGATACTTGCCCGCCCTCAGCGCCCGGCCTTCTGGGCCTGTCGATACGGAACTCTGATGGAGCACCGTGACGTTTGATCGTGATCTGAGATCCGCTTATGATGGAGTACAGGTCTGATCGCGATCTCAGATCTCACTTATGATGGAGTACAGGTCTGATCGCGATCTCAGATCTCACTGATGATATAGTACAGGTCTGATCGTGATCTCAGATCTCACTGATGATGTCCTTCCTCCTAACAAACGGCCCTGACCGACTAGAAGTGACAAAAAAATCACAGAACAAGATGAATGGATGGATGGATGGATGGATGGATGGATGGATAGAAAGATGGATGAATGGATAGATGAAGAATGGTATACCTGACCGAATGGATGGATAAAAGATGTGCAGATACAGATGAATGTATAGATGCATACATAAGTGACTGACTGAAAGCACGCATGTGTGCATACACGTCCCGGCTGGTTGCGCGCGTATTTATTGCTTTGTGGCAGGCCTGTCGCCTCTGCGGCCATTCATTCCGGCAGACAGGAGCGTCAAACACTCAAACACTGCCGCGTCTCCTCGCGTTTAAACCGGCGGGCCGTATTCCGAACATGCTTCGCGACCATTACTGAACATCCGCAGCTGCCCGCACGCGGCGTGGGTAAAGCCTACACAAATCTGCGGCACAAACAGATACCCCAGTTATACAGCCGTCTGTCACACCACATATACAGCCGTCTATCACGCCGCTAGTGGGGCGAAGCTGCCATGTATTTTCTCTTTTTACGATGAGGTTATGAATGTGCTTTTAATGCGAGTACGTAAAATCGGGCCGCACCATCTTTCGCACGAGCTTCTGTCGGAGATAACTTCACCTCTGGGAAGGGAAGCATCGCGTAACACTGGAGGGAGATACTGGATTCTATCTGAAACGTCTGGCTCTTCGGAGAATTCGGCCTGTTGCTGGACTTATTTTGTATTATGTAATATTCTACAGGAATATCTGACCTAAGTCGGGGTATCAAAGTGGCCTATTTTTTTGGTTTGTGTTTTCCGCGATTCACTGCTAGTATATACATTACACAAAGCATCATTGCCGGCCAAACACCCTCGGTGCTACTGTTTCTATTTGTGGCACTGGAAAGGTACCAAAGCAATATGGGTAAGGGGGTGAAGTATGCCTTCTCTTGTCAGAAATACTACACTACACAGTGCATAGTTACAGAACACAGTGGCAGTAATGTGAAATGGTACACAGTGGATCATGTAGTGATGTAGAATACTATACAGTGGATAGCGATGTAGAATACTATACAGTGGATAGTGATGTAGAATACTACACAGTGGATAGTGATGTAGAATACTATACAGTGGATAGTGATGTAGAATACTACACAGTGGATAGTGATGTAGAATACTACACAGTGGATAGTGATGTAGAATACTACACAGTGGATAGTGATGTAGAATACTACACAGTGGATAGTGATGTAGGATACTACACAGTGGATAGTGATGTAGAATACTGCACAGTGGATAGTGATGTAGGATACTACACAGAGGATAGTGATATAGATAGAATATGCTATGCTGTCTATGTGGAATGCTGTAAAACTTTAATGACTTGAAACTTGCAATGCCCAAGGCCAGTCTAGACCGAGGGCTCTGAAGTTGTGAAAAGAAAACCCCTGAATCAGCAGGAAAGTTCCCGCCCTCCTTTCTGCCTTGTGTTTTTGCTGCATCAGCAGGAAAGTTCCCGCCCTCCTTTCTGCCTTGTGTTTTTGCTGCATCAGCAGGAAAGTTCCCGCCCTCCTTTCTGCCTTGTGTTTTTGCTGCATCAGCAGGAAAGTTCCCGCCCTCCTTTCTGCCTGTGTTTTTATTGATCACAGTTTACTGCTGGCATTTCATCACCGGTTTGCGTCGGGGTCGGAGTCAATTTTAAGCCGCCATTACTGTTGACCCCTGGCCTGACGCGTGTGAAATTTCATTACTGAGTCCATGAATAAATGTTATCATCAGGGCGGAAGCACCCGTGTGGGATCGGGGCGGCCCGTGTGGGATCGGGACGGCCCGTGTGGGATCGGGACGGCCCGTGTGGGATCGGAGCGGCCCGTGTGGGATCGGGGCGGCCCGTGTGGGATCGGAGCGGCCCGTGTGGGATCGGGACGGCCCGTGTGGGATCGGGGCGGCCCGTGTGGGATCGG